TTAAATTGTAACTTATTTCAATATTTTTTTGCAAAAAGTCATTTCAAGCCAAAACTTTGAGAGAAAATTCATTTCTAAGTAAAAATATCGATGAATTAGATCACGTTCACTAAATCAGAATAGATTATGCATTGCATTTCCGTTTATTAAAAACGCACCGCTCATTTTTCAAAACTGGCTCCAACTTGGAGCTAGTTTACAAACCAGCTCGCTCCATCTTGAACAAGCTATGTAGGGACAATCTAGCAACTGGAAATCACGGGATACTGTCTCACGATCATTTCCATGTGCATTATGCATCTTATTCTCGTATAATTGGCCTGAAAATGATAAAAAAATGAGAATAAGATGAAAAATGCACATAAATATATTCGTGAGATAGCATTTCGTGATTCCCAGTTACCAGATTGTACCTACATAGCATTTGCCATATGGGGCGAGCTGATTTGCAAACTGGCTCCAAGTTGGAGCCAGTTTTGAAAAATGAGGGGTGCGTTTTTATTAAACGGAAATGCAATGCATAATCTGTTCTGATTTAGTGAACGTGATCTAATTCATCGATATTTTTACTTAGAAATGAATTTTCTCTCATAGTTTTGGCTTGAAATAACTTTTTGCAAAAATTCTTGAAATATGTTAAAATTTTACGTATTTTTCAGTTTTTTCTCATTTTCATGCAAATCAATAATCATACGAGAATAAGATGCATAATGCACATAAAAATGATCGTGAGACAGTATCCCGTGATTCCCAGTTGCTAGATTGCCCCTACATAGCTTGTGTAAGATGGAGCGAGCTGATTTGTAAACTGGCTCCAAGTTGGAGCCGGTTTTGAAAAATGAGCGGTGCGTTTTTATTAAACGGAAATGCAATGCATAATCTGTTCTGATTTAGTGAACGTGATCTAATTCACCGATATTTTTACTTAGAAATGAATTTTCTCTCATAGTTTTGGATTGAAATGACTTTTTGCAAAAAATCTTGAAATAAGTTACAATTTAACGTATTTTTCAGTTTTTTCTCATTTTCAGGCCAATTATACGAGAATAAGATGCATAATTCACATAAAAATAATCGTGAGAGAGTATTTCGTGATTCCCAGTTACCAGATTGTACCTACATAGCATTTGTCATATGGGGCGAGCTGATTTGCAAACTGGCTCCAAGTTGGAGCCAGTTTTGAAAAGTGAGCAGTGCGTTTTTATTTAACGGAAATGCAATGCATAATCTATTCTGATTTAATGAATGTGATCTTATTCATCGATATCTGTGCTTAGGATTTAATTTACTGTCATAGTTTTGGCTTGAAATGACTTTTTTCAAAAAATCTTGAAATATGTAATAATTTTACGTATTTTTCAATTTTTTCTCATTTTCATGCAAATTATACGAGAATAAGATGCATAATGCACATAACAATTATCATGACACAGTATCCCGTGATTCCCAATTGCTAGATTGCCCCTACATAGCTTGTGTAAGATGGAGCGAGCTGATTTGCAAACTGGCTCCAAGTTGGAGCCAGTTTTGTAAAATGAGCGATGCGTTTTTATCAAACAGAAATGCAATGCATAATCTACTCTTATTTAACGAACATGATTTAATTCATCGGATACGACGTCAGATACTGTACATCACGGCGTAACAGTGTAATTGTTCATTTTACCGACAAAATGCAAAGATTTACGCGATAAATATGCGCAATGCTCCTCCAAGTAATTGCAAACGTTTTAATATTCGTAGAATCTTCTTAAAAACGTCAAGTTTTGTTCAGATTAATGTGCGCTTCAATACAATTCTATATTCAAAAAGGTTGTGTCACGATATACAGAATTAGAATCACCAGAAAGTAGACATTTCAAACCCTACCCGTTTTCTTCTTTGTCGCGCTTTTCGGCCCTGCGCTCTCGTTGTCGCACCGTCTTTCTAGACTCTTTCACAATGCCGCTTGTCATATTCAACTGATAAACACAGACGAGAAGATATTAAGGATTGTAAAATGCATTATTTGTAATTTATTTTAACTCGAATATTTAGTTTTATTTATTTAAAGCAATGAATAATAAAGGAGAACATATAATACGCTAACGGCGTAACGTCTTATTTTGTAAAGGCTTCACTTGGGGTTGCGGTGATAAAACGATGTCTATCTCAATATATACTGGTTCAAATTAAATGAAATTAATTGTATGTAGTAAGGGGTATATTTAAAAGAACATGCTGAAACATTGGAAAGTTTTGAATGTTTATCCCTTAGTTAGAAATATTTTAACTCAAAAAATGAAACGTAATTTTGTGAATTTTTCACATGGCTTCACTTCATATTTCTTTCAATTTATACTTCTTACAGACTGAATTTTAATCGAAATGATATAGTTTTTTGATAAAAATATAGAATATGATATGCCTTTCAGGAATCAAAAAAGAATAATTCACATTTCAAACGATTTAATGTTTAATTGATCAAAATATATATCTTGTTGGTACGAAATTCTGCCTGTCGACACTTTTTTTGCATAAATATAAGCGTTAAGTTAGCATTGTTATATTATGACGTCATCACACAGAATCTGTTCGTCTTTTTCAAAATGGTGAATTTAAATATCGTGAAAATTTGAGAAAGATCCGTTGGGAAATGAAAAAGTTATCTTCATTTTTCGTTTAAAATTAAAATCACTTTTCTTCAAAATGTTACAGTCGACACCCGGTTTTAGCATAGAAAGTCGCATAATACGGCTTGCGTGATTCTCATTTAAAAAGTCCCAAACAGTTATTTGGAATTCTGATAGGCAAAATATTTCATGGACATACGTGTTCAACTGATGACGAAAAATTGTAGAAAAATATGATTTTGCTGTCGAGATATTGCGGTTTTAAAAGTAAGTACGCATTAAAAATGCAGTAAAATGCCACGATGTACAGTATCTGACGTCGTACCTCGATATTTTTACTTAGAATTAAATTTCCCCCATAGTTTTGGTTTTAAATTACTTTTTGCAAAAAATCTTGCAATATGTTACAATTTTACTTATTTTCATTTTTTCTCATTTCCATGCTAATTATACGAGAATAAGATGCATAATGCACAACAAAATGATTGAGAGAGAGAATCTGGCTTTTAAAACTGGCTTCTTGGTAACTGCAGAAGCCGGCTTCTGTAAGTCATTCGAAGCCGGTTTTTAAAAGCCGGCTTCTTGGTGACGCCAGAAGCCGGCTTCTGATGTACTGTAGAAGCCGGCTTTAAAAGCCGGCTTTGAAAGCCGGCTTTGAAAGCCGGCTTTGTATATTTGCCTTCGACTCTTTCTCCCTTGATCACTGGCCTTCTAGATCACCCGATGCCAACCTCTGCGATTACCACGCGTATGGGGAGAACTAGCAGAGTTGGTGTACCAGAACCCCTTACATCTATTTAGGACGGAATTGTTGAGAAGTGAAATGAAATGAAAATGACGGCATTTGTATTATGGACGTTGGTTGACAGGTATTGTTATAAATTTGAACTCATGATTTACCAAATAAGGATAATTAAATTCCTTATTCACTGGTCTATGATATGATATATTTTAATCAATAAAATCAATACTTATTTTTGAAATATGAGTGTCCCATGTTTGGACCACTCTGTACATAGCTGAAAACAAATTGTTTATCAGCTTATTTTAATTTCAAACACGATTTATCACTGTCAGATGCATGTAATTGCATGCCTTTGTTGTATTGCCTCACTATACGAGGGTTTGCCCACAAGTTTTTGTAAACCATTTTTTATGGTTGGTCCGAATGGTCTTTCAGAATAAGTGATTTCAACCATACCAACGGCTCTATAGAGCTGCTTGAATCACTCCTTACTTGGAATAAAACTGTATTCGAATCAACACATCTTTAAGAATTATTTCAATATAAGAATACAAGACAATATTATTATAAATGTTAGAATGCACACTAACTGCAGTAGATACAGTATAAATCCTAACTCAGTCTTCATTAATACTTAACAAAGATGTTTATAATCACTAAATACATACGAGGATATCACAATCAAACCAGAAGCATTAGAACATTTGAGAAATCTTCATAAAACAAACAAGATGTAAAGTCTCCATCACTATACGGTAAAAATCGTTCAAATCTTCCATAGATGTCATCCTCTTTTTCCCTCACAATATACAACATTCATGATTTCCAATGAAAAGGAGGCACCCAACGCACATCTAATGAAAAATGATGATATAGCTTTTTGAAAACTTTTTGGTTTCCTCTCGTATGCGAGTTGTCCTGTTATAGTGTTTTAACTTATAAAACCTGTCCATTGTTGACAATTGCAGCGTTTGCATTGTGTAGTGCTCTCTGCCGTCTCTAGGCTTGAATAATTAACTCCTTTGTTTATGCAATGTTTCTCAGAGTTTTAAAATAATATTGAACTCTTTCTCATGGGTTTCCTTGATCCTAACAGGCACAAATGGATATCAAAACTTTAAAAACATGGTTTAGTGTGCCCTTTTCTAATCAAGAGGCCCCTAGAGTGGATATATTTGATAAAAGTGGGCGTGGCATCTCGTATAAAAATCAGATTTTCATCCAAAAGTACACTTTTGAGAATTAAACTTTTTCTTCAACTCAGAGAAACACTAAGTTTTGATATGTACTTTACAAGAAAAATGAGTGTTAATCATTTTCAACGCTATCCAGCCGGGGACATCCTTAATAGCATTACTTTGTATTTGGGACAGAGTAGAGAATAGCGGCGAGTTGATTTCCAGATAATTTCGCTGCCGAGCTTATCATTTATCACTCGAACCGTTTTGAAATGCAGTCTCTTTAACACGTGATCCAACAGAGAACCTTGTATTGCCAAACCTTTTTGGGGGCTGTATATTACTAATCAGGATTTGTTTTCATAAATGCTTGATTGGGCCTTCTTTTTTAATAGGTTTGGAATATAAGGAGACGCCATGAGAACCACCTTTCTTATTTAGCCTAGCCTTATTAACAATATGATTAAATGACAAGCCCAGTTCTTCAATAGGATTTCTATACACGCTTCTATCAAAATGTCTCGTTGTGGAGATGTAAGCTTGTGTGTCCTCGCGTTTCTGCTTAACCTACCATTGGCGTTGGGTTCCGAAGGTACGTATATAACAACTAATTGGACTGCTTAGGGTGATAAAGACGACTCGAACGTAAGTATAATCCTTCGATTTGTACGTATGTCTGCAACAAAACTGAAGAAGGACAAACCTTTTTTCAATTTCAATAACTTCTATATGTATATAGCTGCAATGACTCCTTTCAAAACCTTTCATAGACGCACACTGGAATAGCCTGACGACGGTAAAGTCAGATACCGTTGTCACAAATGGCGGACATAACTGTCGCTTCAATTAGATTTTCATGTACTTCATGTTTAAAAATGCGACTAGATTAAATTCCTTTGGTACTGCAATTACGCAAAGTGTTTTTCTACTGATCATATAGTTAAATAATATGTTCTACCATTGCAATAAAGGCTCTAATTTTATCGATCTGAATATGACACAGAACAACGGATACTGTATAAATGACAACGGTAGGCAATTCACGACCCCATTTGATAGAAATTGGGATTTCATATAATACATCATCGCACGAGCTTAACACATGCAAAGAATTAGTGACGATAAAGTCCCATGAAACAAGTACCAAGTGATTAAAGAGTTAAAGCGACGGTTATGTCCGCCATTCGTGACAACGGATTTTGACTTTACCGTTACTTTACCGTGTGAGACGGGCGTTGAAAAGAATAGTACAATAACGTCATTTTGAAGGCCAATATAGTGAAATATTGGACCGAGGGCCGAAGGCATTCTTGACCGGCAATATTGACCTCCACTAAGAGGGCCGAAGGCATTCTTGACCGGCAATATTGACCTCCACTAAGACGTCACATATTGCTCAGGTCGATATAGTAAAATAAATGCCTTCTAAACTAGCAATAGAACCCCTAGAACAGGCCCGGCAAGGTGGTAATAATACATACACACACTTGTTATATGAAATGTTAATGCATGTATGGTACAAGCCGACCTTTACACCAATGAGGAGATTTAGACACAGATTACATGGTAAAATGAATGAGTCGAATGTCCTCTTTTGGTCAGGTCAGGGATATTACTCGTACAGTAAAAATAAGTTTCATTTGTTGTGGACTCAATCTAAGATCTTCAATCGCTCTTTACTGATCTTCTTTACAACAAACAAGATCTCAGAACACTATTCCCTCTTCGTCCCTGATGATTCATTTATCCCATTTCAGAAATCAAAAAGTTCTCCTTGAATCTAAACAAATTATTCCTAGAATACAATACATCATTAAAAAAAGTTAAAGCCAAATAAAAATATGGATGTTTTGTACCCACCCTGTATAACACATTCTCGGAGAAATAAAAATCCTGTGCTGAAACCATTTTGCACCATGCACTTACTTGATCTTTTTAGGATACTTCTGGCACGTGACGGACAACCATATAGATACGCTATATGAAAGCCAACAAGAATCATGTAACGATGTATTTTCTACGGAAGAGTTGGGCATCTTTGGCATGCCAAGTTGTGATTGTCCACTAATCTTTCAAAAAAGTTTTGTTGGCGCGATGGAATCTTTGGGGCCAGCTCCGGAGTTCATTGTTTGGACGGGGTAGGTTGGATGTATTGTACAATTTGGGGGATTGCCACTGAGCGAGTGGTAAGTGAGTGAGTGAGTGAGTGAGTGAGTGATTGAGGGAGTGAGTGAGTGAGTAAGTAAGTGAATAAACACACGTTAAACAATTGCAAACTTCCCTAACTCGTGACAACTGGCACTGGGCTACGGCGTCTTTACGTAGCCAGGTGAGTTGACGTTTCCATGCAAGTTATTAAAAAATTGCCGTTTTATCAACTGACAAACTGACGATAGGCATCATCAAAATATATTCGTAAATGATCATTGAATGTCAATTTTGTTTGAAAATAAACGATATCTAAAATTCTGATGTAGCATTTTATAATACATGTAACATGATATGGGAAATTGTATATTTCGTCAATAAGACGGCTCAATTGTGTAAAGAATGATTTGTTTCAAGGGATATGTCTCCACATGTGAAAAACGAAAGTGCTTTCAAACCAGAGTCGGTCGTTGTTGCCTCCATTGAGAACGTAACGAATTTGATAAAAGAAGCCTTCCCATCAACAAAGGTATTCCCAGCACTTGGAAACAATGATTGCTACCCTAAAGATCAGCTTCAGCCACATAATAGTACACTATATACTGCAGTCGGTGAGGTTTGGAGGAATTGGATAGGTGAAGCAGCATTGCAGACATTTCACAAGGGTAAGACCCCCGAATACTACTTTAAGATTTCGCATATATACGAGTATTTATGAGGCTCGACTCACTTTATTTTCACCTTATGGTGGGTTTAATGAGAAAAAACACCAAGCATATAAGAAACAAGGCTGGACAGCATAACCTTGTTTAACTTACTCGTGTTACAATAAACAACATCGTCGATCGCAAAGTTCATCCATTTATTTTCATACATTTCATACATTTATTTTTGTACATTTGTCCACAACCTAGTTCTCGGCAATCGCCAGGGTTTGGCGATTATTAAAATAGATATTTATGAAACCTCCCCAGGAAAGGAGTTCATTTACCTGCAGATTCACGTGATAAAATCTAGCCGATATGATCGGCTAGCTATAGCTTGGTGGTATTTCGTCTGTGATCGCTAGTTTAAAACAACTCTCAACTGACAATTTTGCACTTATCATCAAAGGTGTACCTTTTATAGGAGGCTATTACTCTGGCACTATCAGAGAAGGGGAAAACATTCTTATCTTGAACACAAATCTATGGATGGTAAAAAATGGTCTGACACGAAACTTAAACGACCCTGCCTCACAATTCAAATGGTTGGAGGATGAACTGGAACGAATAAAGACTGCTGGTGAAATAGTACGTAAGGACAAAGTAAACACTACAAAACGAGCCAATTCGAAACATACTGTAGTAACCATTATAGAACGGTATTGTTGTTTAAGTGGAGTGGGTGGGGGGTTGTTAGGTTACGTTTTTGCATTTGATCACAGGGTAAGATAATTAGGTTAAGCTAGTGTGCTCTAATTTCTTCATAATTTGATTTTGTAATTCTTCCTTGGTCTTCCCATTAAGCACTTGTGCTCACATATTTACATTTCCCATATTTTTAAAATGTACACATGATTTAGACTCACATAGCTGCTCACATACCACTGGGGAATAATGAAGACTATGCCAATAGCGATCTCACAAAGAAATTCAGCGACCGTTTCAACGGCATTGTTGTTAAATATTCGGACATAATCATCGGACAGTACTATGGACACACTCATGCTGACACAGTGCGAATAATAAACGATAAATCAGGTATATATTGCAACCCCCTACTTTTGACACATGTAACCATAACCCTAGTACACAACTTCGATTCTTTCTTGAATCTTCTAAGGGAATTCGGCTCCTCTAGTTTCGAAATAAATGTACACGAGACGCACCCCCTCGTAGAAACTGCACTTCTTATATGTTGCCTACTTAAAAAAAACATTTTTGGTTTTTCCAATTATTCATAATTGTGCATCCATTTCACTTTTGATTTGGATATTATTTTTTGAGGTTGAGTACATTTTATCTTGCTTTAAAGTGAGGGTAATGCCCATATAGTTTGTAACGCATCATTTACAGACAGCCTGCAATCATTTTTGATTATCGACTTCCACTGCACAAAATAAATTGTTATTTACTGAGCTATACATAACGTGCTTTCTTTGTAGGAAATGAAATAGTAGGATCTGCGTTGATTTCACCTGCAACATGTGGTACCTCGGGGTATGGCGGGAACCCTACACTGCGCATGGTCAGATACGAAACTACGGATGCCAAACTAACAGATATATGGCAATACTACATGAACCTTACAAAGGCAAACGCTGATCCAGAAAACGCAGAATGGGAACTCGAGTATAAATTCACAGAAGCATATGGGGTCAATGATATAAGTACGGCATCGCTTACAAAGGTTGTAGACAGCTTCAAAGAGAAAAACAGTCCTTACTTTGCAAAGTTTATACTTTACCGACGAGGCATGTTTACCTCCAAGTATAATGAACAGTCTTGTGATAATGAGTGTAAAAAGGGCATTCTATGCGGAATCGAGCATATCTGGGAAAACCGTTTCAAACAATGCCATGAGAATGTCCAATCTAATGGACATGTCACTAAAGTCAATTTTTATGCATTTATACATGTGTGTTTGTCAATTTATATGCTCCTACACTGAAAACGATCATATGGTCTTAGGAACTGTCACTAGAATTATATCAAAAACTGAGTTGAGAAGTAGAACCTCGACATATAAAACAAGACATTTGACTTTTTGTGGTCTAACTTCAACGTTTTTTGCACAATTTATCTAGATTCTAAAAATAGACATATTGTCAATGTTATCTTTTGAATTGTAATAAGTAGTTAGAAAATTATTCATATATTTGTAATATCTTATTATCTTATCTTATTTAATGATCGCAATATCTTACCCTTTTAAATTTCAATTTAGGGATCGCATTGTGCGCTCATGAGAGAGAATACGGTAAGCCATGATGTTTCAGAATCTTGGATACTTGCTGTAAAACAACAGACTAAACGAGTGTTCAGTACCAATTGTCAGGTTACGTTCAGATAAACACAACACTTTATTAGCAATAGGCTTGTGGCTGCAGTTTATTGCAACGTGCTGTAATTCACGGTGTTATAGCATGACGGTTACGACACCTCTGAAAACGAGGTTAGACGACTACGATCACTGATTTATCCAATAAAATGGCCGCGATGGAACAGAAAACTAAGGTTGGTGCATTATTTTCTTCTACAGTGTATCAATGAAAGGATGAACGATTTTTGTAGGCATCGCATTCGGTGGTGCATTTAGTAATGTATATTTTGAACGTATTCTTTGCAAATTGATGCCCGGGGATAACATGAAATAGAAAACTATTCGGCCAATTGAGTGTTTTGCTCAATATTGTATTCAATTTTGATCAAAATACTCAATTGACCGAGTGTCGTATAGTACGCCCAGGTTCAATAAAACCGTGCAATTGATGTCGCCCGTAGATTTAAATACTATATCAGCATGTGATAAAGACATCAACGGTTTTTGGTATTCAGCAGGAACAATATCTATCAGAAAAAGTGAAAAAATGAATTGCCAAAATGTACTTTGCATGCGCAAAAAATAGCATTATGTTATAATGTCAGTTATAATACGAATTTCAATGTTGAGTAACGATAACGAATGATAACGCATTCAAGAAAGGGTCTACCATGAACCCCTTACATCTATTCAGGACGGAATTGTTGAGAAGTAAAGTTCAGTATTTCAAAAGCATATAAATTATGCTATCTGTTACGCGGTATATGGCATACATTCATTGTTGCGCGGTATTTGTGATACGGGTGAATATGCCATACTCACCTGCGGTATATGGCATATTCCGCAGGTGAGTATGCGATATTCCGCAGTGAATATGCGATACATTGATTTCACTGAATACCCGATACTCACCTGCGGAATATGTCATACTAAATTGCGGAATATGCCATATACCGCGGGTGAATATGACATATATCGCAGGTGGAAACGTGATACAGAAAGCCTTGATTTAATTGATTGCGAGAATCGACTCTAAATGTAAAACTACGCTGGATTACGAATATAGTTAGTGCGTCGAGTACTAATATATGACTCTTGGATTGATTGAGTAAGTCTATTACGCGAGATTTGTGACTGAAACTTCTGCTAAGTTAATATATTCGATACACAGTACTGTTGATTCAGTAATCATTATTATAATTTATAACATTTTACTTGTTCGTTCATTCGATGCAATTGACAATTGCGTACTTCCGTATCACGTTCTCATTGGTTAGTGTGTATGCCATATACCGCAGGTGAATCTGTCATACACTGCAGGTAAATATGCCATATTCGCTGCGGAATATGACATATTTTTGTATCGTGTTTACCGCGTTACACTATCGACCAGTTTATGCCAAGATTGAGGGCTATAATTGATCAGAATGGTGGACATATTTAACATCTGTTCATGTTGACAAAAAAAACTTGTTTTTTGCAAGATTTTGAATAACCGTTTTGAAGTGAAAATGACGGCATTTGTATTATGGACGCTGGTTGACAGCTATTATTATAAATTTGAACTCATGATATACCAAATAAGGATAATTAAATTCCCTATCCACTGGTCTATTTCCCATTTTTGGACAACTCTGTACATAGCTGAAAACACATCAAACAAATTGTTTATCAGCTTATTGTAATTTCAAACACGATTTATCACTGTCAGATGCATGTTATCGCATGCCTTTGTTGTATTGCCTCACTATACGAGGGTTTGCCCACAAGTTTTTGTAAATCATTTTTTATGGATAATCCGACTTGTCTTTCAATTAAGTGATTCCAACCATACAGACGGCTCTAAAGAGCTGCTTGAATCACTGTTATCTGGAATAAAATTGTCCTCGAACCAAAATTTTCTGCTCAAGGTGTCAACGCATTTTTGAGAATTATTTCAACATAAGAATACAAGACAAGATAAGATTACTAATGTTAGAATGCACACAGACTGCAGTTGATATAAAACTTAACTCAGTCTTCATTAATAATTGACCAAATAATGTTTATAATCACTGAATACATACGAGGATATCACAATTTACATTAGAACATATGAGAAATCTTCATAAAACAAACAAGATCTAAAGACTCCATTACTATACTTTGAAAATCGTTCAAATCCTCCATAGATGTCATCCTCTTCTGCCCTCATAATATACAACATTCATGATTTCCAATGAAAAGGAGGCACCCAACATACATCTAATGAAAAAATAATGATATAGCTTTTTAAAAAACTTTTTGGTTTCCTCTCGTATGCGAGTTGTCCTGTTTAAGTGTTTTAACTTATAAAACCGGTCCATTGTTGACAATCGCAGCGTTTGCATTGTGTAGTGCTCTCTGTCGACCCTAGGCTTGAATAATTAACTTTTATGTTTATGCCATGTTTCCCAGAGGTTTAAAATTTTCTAAATAGTATTGAACTCTTTCTCATGGTTTTCCTAGATCCTAACAGGCACAAATGGATATCAAAACTTGAAAAACATGGTATAGTGTGCCTTTTTCTAATCAAGAGGCCCCTAGAGTGGCAATATTTGATAAAAGTGGGCGTAGCACTTTCTCATAATTGTATCTCTTATAAAAATCTTATTTTCATCCAAAAGTACACTTTTGTGTATTAAACTTTTTCTTCAACTCACAGAAACACTAAGTTTTGATATGTACTTTACAAGAAAAATTAGTGTTAATCATTTTCAATGCCATCCAGCCGGGGACATACGAGGGAAGATCCAAAAGTTTCCGGCCTAACATAGTTCTAGTTGATGGATTTTCAAAATGATAGTGTCATTTTTCAATGTAGTCTCCATGTACTTCGATGCACTTGGCCCATCTTCTTGGCAGCATCTCAAGTCCAGTTCTGAAGAAATCAGGAGCATGACCCTCCAACCACTGGTTAACAGCTATCTTGACCTCATCATCATCATCAAAGCGTTGCCCTCGTAGAGATTTTTTGAGTTTCCCAAATAGGTAATAGTCACTGGGTGCTTGATCTGGAGAATAGGGTGCGTGCGGTAATAATTCCAGATGGCATTCTTCCGCTGCATCACGAGCAACTTGGCTTGTGTGAACAGGTGCATTGTCCTGTTGATGCAAAACTCCAAGACGGACTTTGTGTGGCCTGGTTTCATCAAGTTTAGCTTTTAAAGTACACAACAAAGCAGCATAATATTCTCCATTCATTGTAGTACCTCTTGGAAGGTAGTCTACTAAGATAGGACCTTCACAGTCCCAGAAAATGGTGGCCATCATCTTTTTGTTGGATGGGGTGGTGCGAAACTTCTTTGGGGGTGGGGACCCCATATGTTTCCATTGCATTGACTCATGTTTGGTTGAAGGCTCAAAATGACGCACCCATGTTTCATCACAAGTGACTATTCTCTCCATAAAACCTTGTGGATCAGTGTTATACATGTCCAAAAGCTCTCTTGCAACAGCAACTCGTTTTGTTTTCATGTCCTCTGTGAGCATACGGGGCACCCATCTTGAGCTTAACTTTTGCATGTGTAAATCTTCATGAATTATTCTACAAATGGTACCATATGATAATCCAGTTTCTTCTACAAGTTCACGTATAGATTTCCGCCTATCTTCCAATATTGTTCGATGTACAAGATCAACATTTCTATCTGAAGTGACATCTTTAGGTCTTCCAGAACGTGGTGCATCATCAATTGATTCCCGTCCACGTTTAAATTCAGCCACCCAAAATTTTACAGTAGAATAGGAGGGAGCACCTTCCCCATACACATCCTTAAGTCTATCGTAGATTTCCTGCCCTCCATTTTCTTCTTGATATAGAAACTTTATCACAGCTCTATATTCAGTTTCCTCCATTGTGATCACTGATGTGCAGCCACTGTGACCTGACCTCATTATGAATATTCTCAAAATGAGGCTGTGACCCCTAGAGGTTAATCATATGCATAAATTATGTTCATACATAAGCAACATTTGAACTGTGAAGAATGGTTGCTCTCAGACATCGGGAACTATGTTAGGCCGGAAACTTTTGGATCTTCCCTCGACTTAATAGCATTACTTTGTATTTGGGACATAGTAGAGAATAGCGGCGAGTTGATTCCCAGATAATATCGCTGCCAAGCTTATCATTTATCACTCGAACCGTTTTGAAATGCAGTCTCTTTAACACGTGATCAAACAGAGAACCTTGTATTGCCAAACTTTTTGGGGGCTGTATATTACTAATCAGGATTTGTTTTCATAAATGCTTGATTGGGCCTTCTTTTTTAATAGGTTTGGAATATAAGGAGACACCATGAGAACCACCTTTCTTATTTAGCCTAGCCTTATTAACAATATGATTAAATGACAAGCCCAGTTCTTTAATAGGATTTCTATACACGATTCTATCAAAATGTCTTGTCGTGGAGACGTTAGCTTGTGTGTACTTGCGTTTCTGCTTAACCTACCATTAGTGTTGGGTTCCGAAGGTACGTATATTTACTAATTGGACTGCTTAGGGTGATAAAGACGACTTGAACGTAAGTATAATCCTTCGGTTTGTCAATGTATGTCTGCAAAAAACTGAAGAAGGACAATCTTTTTTCAATTTCAATTACTTCTATATGTTTATAGCTGCAATTATTCCTTTCAATAGAGAAGTTTCGCAAAACGTTTTTTAGCTCCACGGATCCGTATCCGTAACGTATTTACCAGATTTATGCGTAGTCAGTTCGATTTATACGTGAAATAATACGGAAAACACGAAAAATGAGGCTTTTGTACGTTGGTCATTTACGTATCCGATTTTACCCTTCGATTATATTGTTTTTAGTTCTAAAGGTATCACTATATGAACAAGTACTGTGTGCTGTGTATAATTTGACTAAAATTTGGTGAATGAATTTTTTGACATAAATCGAGTTTTTCAAATGGTATGTTCAATTCATTTTACACTGTATGGAATGGTATTGCAATAATTACAGTGTACATGTTTCGCACAACGTTTTAACTACCCGTATCAAAATCCGTAACGCATAGATGGAGTAAAAGTGTACTCAATACGTTTGTGGTACCGACAGCAATGGAGAGGTTAAGCTAACGATGTTTTTCACAACGTAACCGTGAACGCAAAGTACAAAAATTAACAAAGGAATGTATCGAGCGCTCATAGTTTTATGCGCGCTTAGTCTACTTCAGATACTCTTTCAGCTTCAGAGTTTCGGGTTTAGAACGGGAGATTTTGAAATTTGACGTTGGGTCAACGGGAACCATTTTACTCGTGTCTATTGAACACTATGCTGTCAATTTTGATTTCGATGCACAGTTGAATTCTTGCTGAACACGATGATGTATGTCATGCATGATTTACAGGGGCGTAGGAAGGTGTAAATTCAACACTACGCCAAAAATCCTGCCAAAAAAATATGAAACAATTGTGTCAATATTCTATATCAAAACGCCTATATTATGCTCGTAAAACGTCATTTTATGGTAACAGAGATTTTAAGCTTGCAATATTCACAACCTAAATGTGAACGGAAATACTTAAGCGATGCATTTGTATGGGCGATTGGTCATACGTATAGGTTGGCGTTTCGATTTCATATGCAAGCTTTAAATCCCCGGTACCTTTTTAATGTGCTTTAAAATGTTCGAATGATTTTTATCATTTAAAATCACCTTGGAAAGCCTATCTTTTAAATCTCGACACAAATCATTCTCACTTTGCTAATGTCTCGAACGATTGAAACGACCAATTTCCAAAAAACAATTAAGATTTTTTAATCATTTTCGAATAATTGAATTAAGATATAAGCTTATAGTATTGTAGGATTCCATCGTGTACCGTGCAATACAATACGTACAGATTAAAGAAACTAGTTTGATCAATTGATATAAAGAAACGCATTCGTGATCAATGAAACAAATAAACACACCAACCACAAAGGTCAAATCGAGGTCAACGTGACTTAGGGGATGCCAAAAAATGTTATAAAACAAGAATATTTTTCAAATGAAAAAAAACTAGGTAATCGCTTTTCTAGAACTGAAATCAATGGAACGTGTAATTGAATAATCGGCATTTTCAAGTTGTTTTTGTCTTTAACATCCATAATTCAAAAAGTACTACCAGGAACAATTAGTGATTTAGTAAGAAAATAGAAAATTGTTGACTTAACTATAATTTCGTGTCTATGATTTTGCATAGCAACGGAATAAAAATCGATAGTGAAATTGAAAAATTGGGGTAGGGGAGAAAAAAAAAATATACATCTAAATTAAGAGGTTCATCATTATTATAATTATATGATACCATAGTTAGCATAAGCAGTACGGAAAATGCAGAAAAAATGTCAAAGGTATTCATCAAGTAGTTTTTGAAAGAAAACAGTTTTCCTCTCAAATTTGTGAAGAGAACGCGATTCACGAATATTTGGCGAAATTGTATTTATAAGACAGTCAATAGTGGCTCGATTTTCATGAAATAAAGCATGTTGGTAAGGGAATTCAATCTGTTAATATTTGCCAGACAGACCAATAATGATATGGTATCCACAAAACATTTCTTTAGGCTAGTGTGCTCGAGATTACTTTTACAATTTAAACAATGAATGAGAAAATATGACTAAAGAACATAAGAAAATTAAAAACTCTTTTTTATTCTCACTTTTCAACACTACGCACTGGCGTTTTGGCGTACATTGTTCCTACGCCACTGATTTAGGGCCAAAAATCTTACGAAACGAGCTCGTTTAAAATATGTATTAGAAAACCAGCTATAAAACCGCATCAATGACATACTATAGAAGCATTACACATAGCCGTAGGGACCGGGGGTTCGATGGGTTCGGACGAACCCCCGGTCGGGATTCCCCCTCAAAAATATTTGTGGAAAATTCATTGCAATAACCAATAACATATATTCAATTTATATGACTAGTAGATAAAAATAGTAAATTTACACTTCTCTCCAAAAGATTGGCAACCTCAGGCACGGGGTGGGATTGTTTAATTTTGGGAAGACCCCGGAGCATTATGACATTATGCAAAGAAAAAATATCAATAAAAAGCTGCTCCATCTACAGTGAAATAAACAAATTGTCTTAATACTGATGAAAACACATTTTCTTTCAAATCTGTGCCCCTCCGTTTTGTTTTATTTCAAACAAAAATTTTTTTTGCTAAGTCCCCGGGTCTGACAAGTCCTCAAAAGCAAATATTAAATAATAGAAACATTTTGAAATGAGTTATTATTAAAAGCATATGTATCATTTATAAACACAAGTATTTGATCGAATGGGTATTTATTATCCATCACTTTTTAAGGAAAAATAAATCGATTGCGAAAAAATCAGTTTTGCTTTTTCAGATGCACGTTCATCTCGGTGATCATTTTAGGATTAAAATGTTGCTGTTTCAGTGTATTAAGTATTTACTCTATTTTCAAGAATATCAAACTTTAGTGGATCGCGTTTATGACATTAATTATAATATGTTTAGCAAATAAATGGATTAAGGGAGGCAATTAGGTGAGTATGTCTGTGTTACTAGATACAAGTGTAAAAGGTACACACATTACGTGCAGTGGAAAGTTCTGTCCAATAAAAAGGCCAGATGCAGTCATCTTTTGCTGAGGAAAGCAAAGGCGTAAGGAGGATTATATCAAATAAGTCTAGATTTATTATTTCAAATGAGTATTACATTCTCACAGTTAAGGGAAAAAGTTCATAATAAAAAATATTAAAAAATCACATGGTGTACCAATATGCATTGCTTCCTTATAATCACTTTTTATTTTCTGAAAAACTGATCCACTGATAATCAGCGGATTAAAAAATTCATCAAAAGAGGTAAAAAAATGGGAAAATTTGGAGGCATTGGAAGTGAAATCAAATTACATTTTAATCAATATTATAAGTATTTTCCCCGCAGGTTATGTAAATAAAAATTCAAATATAAAGAGGAGGCAGGGAGCTTAGGTTGCCAAGCTTTTGGAGGGGAGTGTACTTGCCAGAAAGACAGAGGATTGGCCTACCACAAGTTTCAAATCGTGTGTCTAAAAAGATTTGGCAGCATTCTTGAATAAAATAATAAAACGTTAATTTCTCAAAAACAAATCAAAGTCTATAATGATTCACAAGTTCATCTAAAATGTTTTCATTTCTCAAAACATTCATGATTCTCGTCATTAATGATAAAAACAGCGGGACGGTGATAGAATGTTTCATTTCATATGTAATACAATAATATTTGTCATCTGTGACTTTTATCGTCAGTACCAATTGAGAGTATTCGTGCAGCCATTACGACTTTTATTGTGCGCCATGATTAAATAAGTACTACATTCTTAAAAAATATTTGCTATGAATATACTAGTTTTCAGTAAATAACTGTAAGTTCATGAGGTCTTACAAAATGAAATATAACATAAAATTCTTTTGATTTGGATTCTTTTCAAAAATCTTTTAAAGTGTCTCACATATTCGATCAAAACTTGCCATGCAAACATGTTAGTCTACTTTACTGGCCCCCCGTGCTGTAACAAGGAACCCAAAACACATTAAAACGTAAACATAACCCAATTAGTCACTTCACTTTGAAAGTGGGGGTGTTAGCAAATGTGTATTAGGCCATAAGAAGTAGATTCTTTGTTTTGCGTCCTGGCATGGGCTATGGACCTGGCAAAATCCAAATCATGCAAGGGTACAAGGAAAACAAACACAAACTCAAGAAAAAAACACAAACTTGTTTGCTGAGAAATGTATACATTTTATGGTCATAAAAAGGGATGACATGCCAATTTGCAGTGATTACAAACACATATCTATACATTTTATACAATATATTTAAACTTCAAGAGTAAAAAATAAGAAAATACACAATGTATGCCAAAATAATTATAACACTGTCAATTTTGACGCACATCAAATTATCCGCCATTTCGTCTGATTCTGATTGAACGAAATGTAATGGTACTTTCAGACCCTTGTGATTGCTATTTTGATGTTTTTTTTTCTGATTTACTCAAAATCGTGCAAGCAAGGGGACGCAAAGCAAAGAATCTACTTCTTATGGCCTTAGCAGAATACGCTGTGTGCATGGACTAACACAATATCAGTGGTCATTTACTGTGTCAACTTAGTAACCCTTGCATATCGTGCTCACTCAAGTATTGAATAATTTTTTATGATCTAAATGTTTGTGGTTTATAAAAAAAATGTGATATATTTTAGTTAGAAATACTTAATTAATATATTCATTCAAACAGCACTAGAATGCGGGAAGAAAGAGCAATGGTGACAAAATGCAGACAGAATTTTCCGTAAAGGTACGTTCACACCAACGGCGAATGCCACGCTTTAAATCGGCGAGCAAAGCGCCGTCATTTTTGTCATTTTCTTCATACCAACGGCGCTTTGATAATAGGTCGTAGAAAAGCTCAGAGTAAAACGGGATATTCGGCAAGAGCGCCAAAAAATTTTAAACT